GCAGCCACATGGTGGCTCACAACCATCTGTGGTGGGGTCTGGTGCCCTCTTCTGGCCTGCAGACATACACACAGACAGAATATTGTATGCATAATAAATAAATAAAATATTTAAAAAAATAATCTTAGCCTCTTCTCTGAACCAGGTACTCCATTGTAATTGTGGACCAGGCTCTAAAAGAGCTTTAACCAACTCTATCCAGTCATTACAAAATGATCATGAGTTTAACATTTGCTTCACAAAAGATGAATGCATATCATATGAGACTATTGCTTCCTTGAATCTCCTTAAATCTAACATTGGTACAGGAGTTCAGTTTGCTGTAACTGAGCCTCTGTTATTTGGCATTTCCTGTAAGGTTACTGGATATATTAAGGTTGGTTGTCTGAAAACCTTAGGCTGTTCTTCTCTATTCTTATAATGCAACATTGAAATTGGTTCTCCGTTAAATTCTTCTGTCTGATTTGAATATCTCTGTGATCTGTTTTATTAGGTTTTTCTAAGGCCTGTATCTTAGCACTCAGATTAACCAAGGTTTTTAGTGATAAGACAAAAATGATAATGCTGCGATTGACATTACATAAATCCCATCTAAATTAGATATCCTCTCATTAAATTGTTCTATTTTCAAATTATCTAGCATTTTATCATACAGAGACCCAAATCCCTCCATTATAATGGTTTCTCCCATTTTTTAATGTGGGAAAAAAATCTCTCTTTTAACTAATTCCTCCCTTTAAGGATTCCCAATTGTCTTTTTTTTAAAAAAGATTTTATTTATTAAGTATACAGTGTTCTGCCAGAAGAGGGCACCAGATCCCATTACAGATGGTTGTGAATCACCATGTGGTTGCTAGAAATTGAACTCAGGACCTCTGGAAGAGCAGCCAGTGCTCTTAACCTCTGAGCCATCTTTCCAGCCCCCAATTGTCTTACAAAATATGCTGATGATGTTGGTGAAGATGTGAGGTTAATGCTGCTGCATAGATCAGTAAAAGACTGCCTAGATTTCAAGGCAGTTACCTAGTTTGGTAGCAGCTGGAGAAGGGGGTTCAGCAAGAGCCCACAACCCATGGTGGACAGAAAGAGAGGGGGGGAAGCCAACTCTGAAAAATCCACAGGGGATTGTTGGGGGGAACCATTTGGAGCCCAGGTGCTTCTGAGTTTAGGTGGCAGCTGGAGACTGTTTCAGAGAGGTTACAACAGGAAAATCCCCAACTTTTTCCCAAGGCTTGAAGGAGAAAAGAAAAGAAAGCCTGGCTGGGTGTGGGTTGGAGCCCCATGTGCAGCTCTAGACTGTGCAGGTGGCTAGAAAGCCTCAGGCAAAAGAGTTTTTAGTGAATTATACCCCAAACATTAGACGCCAAGTATAGCATGATTAATAAAAGCCCAGAGACAAATATTGGGGTTCAACCTGAAGAGCACAAAAGCAAAGCAGCCAAGTCACTAGTGAGCTCTTACCTCTAAGAAATCCTCAGACTGAAAAAAAAGAGAGTGAGTTTTTGAATCATCCTAGCTTATATTCCTCTCTGGTACTGAGATTAAAGGGGTGAGCCATCACCACCTGGATCTGTTTCTGCATTGATCTTGTATAGCCCAGGGTGGCCTTGAACTCACAGAGATCCATCTGCCTCTGTCTCTCAAATACTGGGATTAGGGGTGTGTGGTACTGCTGCCTGGCCTCTAAAGCTTAGCTTCATCTCGCCACCACCATCCAGCTCCATGTTTTAACGCCCCATAGCTGCACAGTTTGGGCATGCTAATCTCTCTGGACCTCCTTGCCTGTGTAATTAAACAGCTGTTTTATGCATAACAGCATAGATGTTAAGTTTGATGATTTAAGGCAGATGCATAGAATGGGGTTAATTTTCTCTTCTGGTCATCAGGCAAATTTTATTTATAAAACATAAATAATATATCACTATAAAGACCCTTCCTCAAAGAGGGAAAGAGCTCTAGAGAACAAGACTGAAAGAGAAGCTGGGAAGCAGGAGAATGGACAGAAGAGAAAAGAAGTTAAAAAAAATTTCAAGTGCCCATTTCAAAGCCAGGCTTGGTAGCCGGATGTGGTGGCACAGCCCTGCAATCCCGGCACTTGGGAGGAAGAGGTCAGCTTCTCCAGTTCGCTACATACTTGTCAATTCGTAGCAAGTTTGAAACCATCCTGGGCTACAGCAGCCGAGCATGGTGGTGCACACCTTTGATACCAGCTCTCAGAAGGCAGAAGTAGGCAGATCTTTGTGACTTCTAGGTCACCATGTGGCTATAGAGTGAGCTACTGTCTCAAAAAAAAAAATGTTCTAGAGCTAGACTTTCTGGATTTGTATCCATTTTGCTGTTGTTGTTGTTGTTGTTTGTTTTTTTTTGAGACGGGTTTGTTTTTGTGTGTGTGTGTGTGTGTGTGTGTGTGTGTGTGTAGCCCTGGCTGTCCTGAAACTTACCCTGTAGACCAGGCTGGCTTCAAACTCACAAAGATCTGCCTACCTCTGTCTGCTGAGTGCTGGGATTAAGGAATAGCCACCACCACCACCCAGCCATGTTTTAACACTCCATAGCTGCACAGTTCGGGCATGCTAATCTCTCTGAACCTCCTTGCCTGTATGATGAAATGGGAAATACCTGAAAAGCTCATCACAAAATATAAAGTGCTCTGACACATAGCAAGGCTATAACAAATTTGATGATTTAAGGCAGATTCATAGAACGGGGCTGGAGAAGTGGCTCAGCAACTAAGAGCATCTATTGCCCTTTTAAAGGAACTGAGTTCAACTCTTATCACCCACATCATAGAGCAACTCATAATTAACCATTAACTCGAGCCCCAGGGGACTCGGAGGGTACCTGCACTCACACATGAACACGTCTATATACACACATACACACGATTGAAAATAAAAGAAAAAAATTTAAAGCAGATGCATAGCAACTTTTTTTTTAGAGAAAAAAACTTAAAAAACAAATTCAAAACAATTTTGGGACTCACAATTCTGCCTCAGCCCCTCAAATACTGGGATTCCAAGTGTGCATCATACCTAGTAGTAGTAACTTTTTAAGAAAGATTTTTTTAATTTTATGCATATGGGTATTTTGTCTATGTGTGCACCACATGCATGTGGTACCCACGGAGGCCAGAAGACGGCACAAGATCCTCTGTAACTGCCCTTACAGACAGTTGTCAGTCACCGTGTGGGTACTGGGAACAGACCTGTGATCTTCAACACCAGGCCATCTTTCAAGCCCCCATAATAACTTTTAATCTCCATTACTATTCTATGAACCTTGGACAGCAAGAGCTATGTGTCACTAAGAAGGAGATGTTAAAACCCCTGAGCTACCATCAGTGGACACTAGAATTGGAACATCAATAACAAAGTTCTCCTTGAACTCAGGAAATGAGAATCCCAAATTTTGCTGAGTTTTGAACCAGCCTATGCCGATACTGGAGTGGGACTCGGCATCTTGAGCCCTTTTTTCTGAGGTGAGCTTTCTTTCTTCTTCAGTCTCTGTAGGATGGCGGTTTTCAGCCTGTGGGTCAAGGCCCCTTTGGTGGCTGCACATCCGATATCCTATGCATCAGGTATTTACATCATGATTCATAACAGTAGCAAAATTACAGTGGTAAAGAAGCAACAAGATCATTTTATGGTTGGGGTCAGCACAACAGGAGGAACTGGATTAAAAGGGTCACAGCATTAGGAAGGCTGAGAGCCACTGATCTAGGGCAATTGCCTTCAACAGGAAGTGATTTTATCCAGAGGACATTCAGCAACATCTAGAGACATTTCTGGCTGTGACAACTGGAGCATGCTACTCTCGTCCAGAACCAGGGAAGCCAGGGATGTTGATGAATATCACACACTACGGAGGATAGCTCCTTACAAAAAAATCCATTCTCCTGCCTACAGCATCAGCATTCTGAGGGGCGGCAGCCCTAATCCGGGGCTAAGGAGCTCTTCCTTGGCTTGGCAGGTTGTGAGTGAGTTTGGGAGGAGTGGGACAAGGTGCTAGGGCACCGTGGAGACAATCACTCGAACCCACAGAAAGGTGTCCAAACCCGCATTTCCCTGATCATCAGTTGCCAAAATCAAAGAACAACAAAAACAATCAACTTCATTATATGTTATATTTCATTAATAAATAGGTTCTCCTCTTTAAACACAGAACAGACAACAGATTGAAACAACCCCCCCACCCCAAATTCCAAAGACAAGAGTCTAGAAAACAAACGCCAACCGTACCACCCTGAGGGCAGGAAAGTCTGGTGATCACCATCAGTCCTGCCCCTGCAGCACCACCACCCCCACATTCTGTAAGAGAAGGGGGTCTGGGGCTTCTCCCCTGGGCCCTGGGGACTTCGGTGAGAAGCGTGTGAATGTATGATGTCACCTCTCTGTGACGCATGGGCTATGCAAAGATGAGGTTTCCTTCCCAGCTCTGGTCAGCCCTTGCCCTCCTGGTTTCAGTTATGAAGCATCTGGGCTAAGCTTTCCCATTGTCCAGTCCATTGCCACTTCTCAGAGGGGACAGGGAGAGCTCAAAGGCCCTTCCCATCCCCCGCCTGCATGGGAATGCTGTGTGGAAGAGCATGGTGCTGAAGGTGAGGCCAGCATGTCCCCAGTCCCCCAATACCCTTCCTTCCTCTGGAGTAGGAGACACTGGGGCAACTGCTCCCTCCACAGCCTACTGCCTGGCTTGGGGTGTGATGGTTTTCGCTTAATGTCAGGCCCTCCTGCCAGGCCTGGCTTCTTCAATTCCATTCCTGTCTCCTGAGCCCTCACTGTGGCCATCTGAAAAAGTCACATCCAGGGTCTTAAACTGTCTCATCCTCCCTCTCCCCGTGCCTCTGCACCCCAAGGGAGGAAGTGGGGGGCTGTCTCCCCCGCCTCTGGCTCCGACTTCACATGATGGAACAGCTTTTGGCCTTTTCCTTCTTGAAGGTGGAAGAGATGAGTTCAGAGCGACTGGGGAGGTGGAGAAGTCGCTTGGAGAGGCTGCGGACCGGGCTCTTCGGGGGCACTGAGTTAGGCTTGTTCAAACACACCATGGATGCCATCCGGAAGATGCTGTGGATACTCTTCTCTGAGGTAAAAGCCGAGCCCTCCAGGTAGATTTCTGCGCCCAACTGCTTGGCGATGGCACAGCCCTGTGGGAAGGGTGCAATGTGGTTATTAATGCAATGGTCTAAAACGCATAGGAAACACCGTGGCATTCAGTGTGTCACTCCGTAGGGCTATTCCAGATGACAGCCCACTGCCAGTCTCTGCCAGTTCTTCATGAAGGTGGCTGCAGGCCAGAATCTCCTATGACATTTTAAAAACCAGGTACAGCATGATGTCTGGGGATGGCACAGGCATTAGGTCTTAGACTTTGGCACTGGTGATGGGATCCAGGACTTCATGCATGCTAACCATGCGCTTAGCCACACTCCCAGTCTCAACATTATCATTTAAAAAAAAAAAACCTTTTCCATATGCTTATCCATATGAGTGTGTGTGTGGTATGTATGCGTCGTACATATGTTCCTCCCACAGTTCGCATGTGGAGGTCAGACGACAATTTGTGGAAGTCATGTCTCTCCCTCCACCACGTGGGTTCTAGGGATCAAAATCGAGTCCTCAAGCTTTAGTGGCAAAGCACCCTGCCCTCTGAACCATCCTACCAGCCTGCTGATGTCAGTACTTGAAAGAGTTCTCCCAGCTCACTCTCATGAGAAATCTTAACAGACATTCTGTGTGCATTAAAATTTATCCTTGCAGCTAGTGAGGTGGCTCAGCAAAGAAAAGCACTTGCCATCAAGATCGATAACCTGAGTTTAGTCCCAAAAACCCACGTGGTAGAAGGGGAGAGCTGACTCCTGAAACCTGCTTCTGACCTCCACACATGGGCATGACATGCGCCACACACACACAAAATTAAATAATTTAAAAATTATCCTTGGGTTTGTTATAAAAATACAGATGTCCATATCGTCCTCCCAGGGCTATTTTATAAGCATGGAGCTTGGAATTCAAAATCCCAACAATTAGTTCTCTTTGTTTGCTAGTTTTGGTTTTTTTGAGACTATGCCTTATTATTTAGTCAAGCTGGCCTCAAACTTGGAATCCTTCTGCCTCTATCTCCTGAGTTCTGGGATTACAGACTACATTCAGCGCTAACAAGCATCTTTAATGAGTCTGATGCATATGGTTTACCAAAAAAAAAATAAAAAAAAGCCTTAAAATTGCTGGCATACACACAGGAGAAGTTCACAAGCGATAGCAGGGAGCTAAGTTAGCAAGAACCTTCTACCCCAATCCACGTGACAGTTTGCCATTTATAGATATAGATAGCCCCCAGTACCAATTCTATCTTATACGGAAAGAGTTTAGTCAAGAGCCATATGTAGGCCCTCCACCACAGCCTTCTCTACCCCATCCCAGCACACACATACACGCACACGCACAC